CTAAGGAATCTACCTCTTTAAAATGTGCATGGCTGTGGCTTTTAGTATAATGAGCAGCCGATGGAGTTTTGAGAATATTTTCATCTTCCCAAAAAGCAACTCAACTGCCCTCATTTACCAACTCAAACTCTTTTTTGTTATTATTTGTATGTGTGTATGTGTGTAGGCAGCACTTGATGTTCGCTGTCTTCCTGCATCACTTGCTCTGCATCACATTTTTTGAGACAGAGTCTCTCCTCAGCCTTGCCAATTGGCTAGACTGTCTGACCACCTGTCTCTGCTCCTGTAGGGCTAGGGTCACAAGCACGAGCCACCAGAGCCGGCTTTTACACGGGTGCTGGGGATCTGAACTCAGGTCTTTGTGTTTGTAGAACAGGCACTTTAGTGTTTGTGCTGTCTGGCCAGCCTCTTCAACAGTTCTTAGACAGTTATCCCTCCTTATGTTCAGAGTGTTCATTCCTGGACCCCCACTAAATGCCAAAATCCACAGATGGTCAAGTTAATGATGTGGTCTTTGCACAATACCTGTACACACCCTGCCGTGTGCTTCAGACCATCTCTAGGTTTAATACTTAATGCGATGTCAATACCTTGTAAATACTTGTCACCCTGCTCTATTAAGGGAATAGAGACCAAGGAAAAATAAGTTTGAAATGAAGACAGGCACAGCCTGACTGCACAGTACACAATCCAGGATGGGTTGAGGTCACAGGGGCGGAGCTCACAGGCCCAGAGACTGACTATAAATAGAATTGTGCACCCCGTGGTCTCTGTGACCAGCATCTTGCAGCCACCAGGAAGTTCTCAATGTCCATCTTCTTTCTTTTGTTTTGGTATTGGCCTGGTTATTTCCAAGTGATGTTCCATGTGTGAGTGTGTTGCTTTTTGGCTTACGCATGCATCAGCTGCTGGACATTGGATTGTTGTAGGTGAGGCCTAAAGCACAGAGAGAGTCACTTCTTTTTCTCTTCTCTTCCATCGTCTAAGATTGAAAGGCCGTTTTGATTCTCT